TTCGATGAAATGTCTGAACCACTAATTCCAGAGATTTGTGGCTCTGTACCAAGGTATTGGTTGCAGGGAGCGTTTTGGCTTTAACTTGTTGATTCGTAATGCGTGTTAGGTTAGCTCTCGTCAATGGTGATTGAGTCTGGGACTAGTTTAACTTGAGGGTCTCTGTTGCGGTGGCACTTTCATTTGGTTACCGAACTTGTTGTCTAGGGATAATTTATTGAGCATGTCAATCACTTGTAAACTAAGGAAACGGAACTACTCAATTACCTCATCCTCGGGAATTCTTTATCTAATTGATTTTACTGTTTCCTCTACTGTTGTTTACTGTATCTTGTCATCTGTTGCTTAGTTTCTGCAATTATTTCCTGTTACTCGACCTGATACTCGACCACCCAGTTGTCTGGCAACAGACTGTGCAGTCGAGTATCTTTGTTTCGTTTATTGCCTGTTACTCGACCTGTCACTCGACCACACCTAGTTTTCCGCATCGAGCTGTATTGGTCGAGTGTTTTACTGTTTCTGCTTGATTTTCTGTTTTCTGCATGTTCACTTAGGACTGCTAGAACACACCAAATCCTGTTATTGCTTGGCTTGACTTAGTGACTTCTGATCACATCTTGATTGTTAGCATTACACCCATTTGGATTGACAACCTAAAATACTACAACGACATGATATGATTTATTTTCGAGATAGATCCTATGAGTACATAAACTAGGTGAAATTCCTTTAATATCAGCTAATGAATATCCAATTGCCCTCCTATACTTCCTAAGCTCATTTAACAACTGATGCACTTGTTCATCACTTAATCCATTATTAATAATGACGGGATAAGTATTATTTGGACCCAAGAATGCGTACCTCAGACCTTTTGGAAGATTCTTAAGGTCAACCTTTCGAGCTTTGAGTTCTTACCAGTCATCTGAACTTGCATTTTCTCCAACATGGCTGAGTGCCTGAGTAGAGTATGTTTTTTCAGCAATCGGGCTAATGGTGCATCTTGATACTGCTTCTTCTGAGGGAGTAATCAATTCCTCAAACTCTTCTGGTTCTTCCATTGGCCTTTGGGCGTCTAGATACTCTATGTACCTGTGAGTTTCTAAGTGTAGGTACCCTTCTTCTCTGTCTTGGGTTAAGGCACTTGCTAAGTGATCTCATTCTGTGAGCTCTTCCAGTAATTCGTCAGCCAATCTATCCATTTTTTTTAATCCTAAAGACTTGTCCATTGATTGTTGGTTTCTTCATAGCTTTGTTTATGTCGAAGGTCATCTTCATTTCCTTCCCCAGGTTTAGTTTGATCTTTCCTTTCTTTACATCGATGATGGCTCCTGTAGTCGCTAGGAACGGTCTTCCTAAGATTAATGGATCTTTTGGCTCCTCATCCATCTCAAGTATTACGAAATCAATCGGGATTTCTATTGATCCGACTTTAACAGGCTGGTCTTCGAGGACTCCATGGGGGATTCTGACTAATCTATCGTCTAATATCAGTTGCATGCTGCAGGACTTGTATTTACTGAAACCTAGTCTTTTGGCTACAAATAGGGGCATAAGACTGATTGAGGCACCCAAGTCACATAGGCATTTACTGAAAGATAATGGTCCTACTGAGCAAGGTAGGGTGAAGGATCCACGATCTCCCAACTTCCTTGGCATTATACTTTTCTAGATGATAGCACTGCATTCATGGCCTATTACCACCATCCCCTATACTTCCTTTATTCTTTCCGTAATCAGATCTTTGAGGTACTTGTGGAAGTGTGGAATAAGCATGAAAGCGTCCATTAACGGCATTCTTAGCTCAATCTCCTTTAGCTGCTTATCACAAAAAGGGCTTTGTATTTTTCTATTAATTCCTTTTTGAATCTTCCTGGGAAAGGCATAGTTGGTTTGTAGGGTGGCGGAGCATATTTTTTATTCTTTTCTACAACCGTAACTTTTCTTTCCTCAAAAGTTGGTTTTGCTCGATCGAGTAGAGGGTCGAGTGAGGCTGAAGGCTGATCAAGTTTAGTTGGTTCATCAATTTGAACTTCGTTGTGGTGCTGATCCTCCTCTTCTTGAACTTCACTGTCCTCAGTGATCTTTTCTGTGGTCTTGTTATTGAGCAGTTTCCAGCCACTCCGAAGTGTAAATGCGTGTGCATATTCTTTGGGTTTTGAATGGCTTTTCCTAGATGTATCCATGTATACTTGGAGGAGGTATTGAAAGAAGCTTGGCTTTCCATATATATTATTTTGGATGTTAGGTCCTCATATTTGCTTCTTAGTTCAATGTAGGAACAGTCAACTTTACTATTAATCTCATCCAATCATTTTTCCAAAATGATAGCTTCAGTAGTTTGACCCTGAATGATTTGTTGAAGCATCTGTTTTTCTGTTAGGATCTTGTACGGTTGGGGCTTGTTGTGGTTGTTGAGTGAACCCTTGTGGTATCCTCCATTGAACTGTTGTTTAGGGACATAACCTTGGTTGTACTGAACAAATGGCTTAGACTGATTCTGTTATGGTGGATACACTTGATCTTGGGTGTTAGCTACATTAGTACTTCTGTAGGAGAGGTTTAGGTTGGGCTTGTAGTTGTTGTAACCCTTATTAAACCCTCCTTGGTTCTGAATATAGCAGAGCTCTTCAGTTTGATCATTCCCCCCTTCTCGCATTTGGAAATGCTCTTCATCAATGATATAGTGTATCTGCTTCTACTGAGCCAGCAACAGTTTGTCTAGCTTTTCATTCAGGGCCTTGATATCTTTCCTCTGTCTGTCATCAGTGTCTCCAGCTCCTCTAACTGAGCGATCATAGTCTTCATTATAGCACCCATCAGATTGTGCTAGATTTTCGACTAACTCCCATCCTTCTGCTACATCCTTGTTCAGGAGGTTTCCATTTGAGGCAATGTCGAGTAGCATTCTAATCAATGGTAAAGCACCTCTATAGAGTGTGCTCAATAATGAAGCTTTCTTAAAACCATGATGGGGGCACTGAGTGGTGTAGCTTTTAAACCTCTCCCAAGCTTCACTGAAAGTTTCATTGTTTTTCTCGGTGAAGCCCGATATCTCGTTTCTCAATCTAGTTGTTCGAGCATTAGAGAAGAACTTTGGAAGAAAAGCTTTCTTACAATCATCCCATGAGTTGATGGAGTCCAAGGTCAGAGTTTTCTCCCAGTGGTGTGCTTTGTCTCCCAAAGAGAAGGGAAATAGTCTAAGCTTAAACCCATTGATCTTGGTGAGGCTACAGAGCCTATCAAAGCTATCAAGATGGTCCAGGGGATCTTCCATAGGCAATCCACGAAATTTGTTTCCTTGGATCATGGAGATGAGACCACTCTTGATTTCAAAGTTGTTGTCCTAAACCATCACCATCACCAATGTTTCTTGGTTGATCAACTATAGGTGGGTCTTGAACTTAACTTCTCAGTCTTGTTGATCCATAGCAGCTAGTCTTTGCTGATCACATGCTGCCTTTGCTTTGGTTTCTTGTAGCTCATGATCTATTTTGTCAATTCTGTCTTTGAAAGGTAGTAGGTGTGCAGAACCTTTGGACCGAGTTTACATGCACAAAGATTAGTACATGTACCACAAAAACAAGCAAACGAAAAGATGAGTTAGTAACTTGAGTAATGTAAAAGAACTTGATCTTAACTTTTTCTAATATCTTGAACGTAACAATGCAATAATGAATTGGCCACGGCGCCAAATTGATAACTAATCTTAACCACATGACTAACCTAGTGATTACCCTAATCTAATTCATTCTCAAGAACCCTAATCACTACTCAAGCAACATAACTAAGAACACAAACCCAGAAATTACTCTAAACATATCAAAATGTAGATCTAAACAAGATAAACAACTTTGCTCAAAGAACTAAATGCAAAAACGAAATAGATTAAGAGTAATTAAGGATTCAGATTCTAAAACACAAAGAAAAACTACAGAATAAAAACTTGGTCCTTTGGACAAACACCAAAGTGACCTATTTATTGTAAAATCTGAAAAACCTAGATTCACTAAAAGACAAGAGACTTGAGGCGGTTTAGATGAATGCTCGATCTTGGGGATCGAGTAAAGAGGGTGCTGCAAAGTCTGCGCCTTTGCCTCCATCCTTAGAATGATCAATTGGTCGAGTAGATGCTTCTTCCTCTCCTATTCGTATGCCCAGATGTCTGGGTGAGTGGGCAATGAGGAGGACCAGAAGACGCTTTGAACGATCAACAAGGCTTGTAGTGTGGGTTGCCATTGATCGAGTAATTGGTCGAGTAGAGGATCAAGTAGGGGGTCAAGTAAAGTCTGCTGCTTCCTCCGTGGCTGCCTGGATCGAGTAAAGGGGTCGAGTTAATTGCTCTACTGCTTCCCTCCTGGATTGATAGAGTAGAGAGTCGAGTAGATTTCCTTGTGAGCTCCTTCTACACCTGAAAACACACCAAAACATGCAATATGAACGCAAGATGATCCCAAATGCCTAAGTGTAAAAATAAGCTAAATGTAATGCAAAATGATATAATACAATGAGTGATCACTAAGCTAAATGATGATAAATATATGCCTAAAATGAGCAAAATACAGTGTTACCAGCCTCCCGGGTAGTCCTCGTGTTGCATCCCCCTTTTTCTGTTTATTTTTTCTTCTCCTTTTTTTGTTCGAAAGACGATAGTACGGTCGGCTGGCCATAACATTTAGGCTGTGAGGACCTTCTCGGTCGAAAATACCTTTTCGGAAAGCTTCAAGAGAGCCTCACAGTGTGGCGATTGTTCAAAAATCTATGGGCCCGTTTTCGACCATAAATTTTGATGTATAGAGGCCTTTTGGGGCCTTTTTCTAATCTACACAGAATACGGGTTCGAAAAGCTTGTTTCATGCATGGTTTTATCATATTCGCCAAATATGGATGTCCGTTTAAACTATTCCAGCCGGCACAAGTATCTTGTGGGACCCACAGCAGATGGTTTCTAGAGTCGACGAAAAAGGATATATACGAGTGCGAGGAATGTACTAACTAACGAATGCGATCATACCGGCACTAATTCACTGGATCCCATCAGAACTCCGCCAAAAGCGTGATTGGGCAAGAGTAGTACTAGGATGGGTGACCTCTAGCGAAGTCCTCATGTTGCATCCCTCTTTTTAGGTTTTTTTTTCCTTCTCCCATTTTTGTTTCGAAAGAGGCTAGTACAGTCGGATGGCCATAAGGATATATACGATTGCATGGAATGTACTAAGGGATGCGATCATACCAACACTATTGCATCGAATCCCATCAGAACTCGGCAGTTAAGCGTGCTTTGGCGAGAGTTGTACTAGGATAGGTGATGTAGTGACCCGCATAAGGGCATCGGGCACGACCAAAGGACCGAATAAGTAAAAGTTCCCGAATGCATGGCCAATTGACCGCATGTGCCCTAAAGGTGTGAAACCATCAAAGGGCAAAGATGGGCAAGAAAGGGCACGAATGGGTAAAGATGGAAAAAGTTGGGTGTATCGCGGCGAAGTTTGCCCCATGGGCAGCGGAACCGACATGAGTTGGACACCTCACTCGTGGTTCCTTGCGGCTCATGTCACCAACCTTGGAGCCAAAGTTGGCTGAGTCTTAGAGCCGAAGCTGATGGGGCTGTGGAGTGACACCCGTCGCCATGCCATCGTCCGAGACACTTGTCGCCTGTGGGCGTTGTAGCTGGCCGGACATGTGGCAGCGGGCGGTGCTGTATGGCCTACCTTGAGTGGACTAGAAATGATGCTCTTCTCCGCCCAATTTCATTTTTGAAGGCGATAGAGAAACTGTAAGGCTGCCTCACTGATAACTTGTCCGAAACCGAGAAAACTTGCCCAAATTCAGTAAATCTTGCCCGTGGTCGAGGAAAGTCTGTCCGTGACTAGAGAATCGTCGCCTGTGGTCAAGAGAACTTGACCGTGAGTAAGGGATTGTCGACAGTGAACGAGAAATTTCACCCGAGACCTAGAAAACCTTTCGAATTACCGAATCCGTGACTTGTGGTCGAATTGTGTGTTTGTTTGCATGTTTTCTAGAGCTAGTCTTTAGATCATATTCATGCTTACTCAGTTAGATTTAACTAATCGGAATTCGACTTAAGTTAGAACTTGTATCTTAAAATGATGTGGGCATTTGACGAACTTGATAGTAATATCATTAAGGAATGGAATGGACTGGTGCGTGACTAGGCTAAGTGAATATGGACTTAACTAAGTTTACTTGATGAATTGATATTTGATTCGGGGGCGTTACAATTTTTGGTATCAGAGCATTGTTATGCGATGCTCGTGGACACTTGGGTTTTCAATGATTTTATCAAGTAAATTTGAGTCGCAGTGAAGATGAAGGAAATGGAAGGTGGGATCCGATGCTACTTTAACAGGATCTGAACCACGAGTCTTTGATGAACCGTTCAAGACTTGATGAAGAAAGGTCGAGAGAAAAGCTAGCCGAAGATGAGAGGCGGAAGGGAAGGAAAGCGGTCGAAATGAGAATCGAATCGGAGAATTCTGGAACTTAACTCACAAGATGGAAGAGTTAAACAGCACCATCCTGGAACTTCAAGAAATGATTAAAAGCTACCCCAATTTTGAAATTGAGGATTGGTCAAAGAAGCCTAGTTCAGATGAAGAAGACTACTCTACTGATCAGAAAGAAGCTTATTCTGAAGAAAAATCAAATGAGTACTCATCCTTCAATATGTTAAGGCAGGATGCAGAGTATGATTCATGCACTGAAGATTCAACCACTGAAGAAGAGGACTTCTCAAATCCTCTCTTCAACCTTTTTTCTGACAAAGCTCTTGAAGATTCAAGCTTAGTGACTTAAAACAAGTTCATTTGGGAGGAAGTCCCATATCTATCCATGTATTTAACTTTCTATTTTCCTTGTTATTTTTGATGTTTTCGTTTAAGTGTTTGTGATTTATTTCATTGACCATGAGGAAGTCAATGGTCGAGTAAATTCAAACCAAGTTAAGAGATGATCTCCACCGTTGATCGAGTAAAATGAGGAGGAGTGTTCTGAGCCGTGCGATTGAATGACCAAATAGAGGAATCATCCCCACCGTTTGATCGAGTAAATTCATGAGGTTTAATTTGGTCTGTTTGATCGAGTGCTTAAGAGTGAAGTGTTTTCATCGTCCGATCGAGTGAAGAACCAAAGAGACTACCTTGTGGACTCCAACGCCTCGTGACCCGCCTCCATTAAAACCAATGATGCCTCCTCTCATCCTCCCCTCATAATCGCTTTGGTTCCCCCCCCCATCATAATTCCCGAATTCAGTAACCTCATCTCTCCACCTTCCAAACCAAAGAATTCTCGATCTCTTATAACTCTCTTTCTCACCGTCACTTCCCCTTCTTATCAAAAACTTTGCAAAATTCATTTGTTTTCTCCATCATTCGATCTCCTAACCTACTGAATTTTGGTTTTGGTCTTTCCCATTTCTGTTCTCAATGACGATTAGGCGCACACTCTTGTCAAGGATCCGGAACAGAGCTCTCTCCCCACCAAAGAGGTATCCAACACCCTCTCCGCATGCAACAGCTCGAGGACTCTCTGAACAAACATCCATGGGGTCGAGCAGAAGAAAACAAGCAAGTTTCAAGATTGATCACAGCGAATGAAGCCAAGAGGAGGAACGATGCAAGAAGAAGAAACTTTCAACTCTCCTGCCAAAAACACTCGATCCCGAAGGTCGAGTAAGGCTTCTACAAGGGAGTTCTCGAGGAACAAGGTAGACATCACTCGAGGAAAGAAGCCCATGGGGAGAAGGTTGGAACTGGTAGATGAAGACTCTAAGGATAAATGGTTTCACCTAAGGAAGCTGATCAAATAGAGAGAAGAGGTGGTGATGATTTGGAATCAAAGAAATACGCAACTCGAAACGAGTACTACAAGCTGCTGAAGCGCTACAAGTTTTTAGGAACTCGATACCCTCATCTTGAGACCATGGAGAGACTCGGCATCTATGATGATGTAGACTACATGTTTAAGCAGTGTAGCCTGAATATTCACATGTTTCGACCAATGGAGGGATATGAAGAAGAGATCAGACAGATGCTTCAATTTCATTCTACCTAATCGAACATCTGCTGAGCTATAGAGGATGGGCTAAGGGACTTAAGAAACCAGGAAAAATGGTTGTGGGAGGAGTTGTAACCCCAATTTTGAGAGCATGCAATGTACCTCTTCATTCCAAGTCGATTCCTCCGAGATGGATTGATATGCAGCACCTTATCAATTCCAAGAGCTTTTGGTCGCAGCAGAAGAATGACCTATATAAATATAGGTTCGATCACCCTGAAGTTGGGCAATATATTTTTCTCCTCCCGAATCCTGCTTCCACTTCGATCAGAGATGGCAGCAACATCGAGTTTTGCCCACCAGTAGAGAACCTCTATGCTTCAGGTGATGATGTTGTACCGATGGAAGGAGTGAATGATGATGAGGATCCAATTGGACATTCAGATAATGAGGCAGAACCTATGGACGAGTCTTATGCAACACAACAGTTTTACTTTGAGGAGTCTTTTTAGCGTCTTTTCAGGTATTAAATGCAATGGGACAACAATGGAGAATAGGGTTTCTCATTAGGGATTTATATGGTTTAGTAGATTGTCCTCTTTGCTAGGTCATCTGTAGAATTCTTCATCTTTAAATATGCTTATTGCTAGATCTAGAGTAATTAACTAGATCTTGAATCCAGACAATAGATATGCCCACCATATGTATCTGTAGTTGGATCTATTATTTGATGAGCCTGGTTTATAGGTGTGTAATAAGAATCAGCCTATCTAGTAGGGTGAACAATCGAACTCGTTAAGAATGCGTATTTAGGTTAATAATTCTCGGCTTCTCCGGTTATTCTTAGCTATAGATATAGGGAATTTCGCGGAACACCACCGGTTATTCCATGATTAGAGTTTGAGTTTAAGAATGGTTGGATAATAACCTAGCTTTCATTAGATCTACTAACCAATAGTTTCCTGAGAATACTCTGTTCCTATCGCTTTATTCAATCGTTTACAACACAATAAATCTTCTGTCTTTTCACTTTATTTTCTTATTATTTCATTCATACCCTGCTAGCTTAATCTTGACATTGAACTCATTGTTTGAACAAAAGAACTTTGTGGAAATCGATCCTTAAATACTGCAATTGATCTCTTATTTGAGAGAGTAGTTCTTAGGGTAATTTGAACAGTATCATTGCTCATTTGCATAGGGGATAATGATGATTTCAAACTGTTAAGCATGTTTTGATTCAGCGAAGTAAGTTCAATGCCTAGGTTGTTAGTTCTCTGTTGCATAACCGATTGTATCTCTGAAGTAAGACTGCACCCTGCTTTGAATTTACAACTCGACTGAATTTCCAATTATCATGTCTATGCATTATTTGTGAACTCATGGCTACCATATACATACTTGGATTATCTTATTCACTTCACCACTGATGTGTTTTATTTTACCTCAGGCTTTTCCCTGAAAGACCGCCCGACTACTGCAAGTGCACAGTATATCGAAGTAGTATTTGAGGATCGAATCCACAAGGAGAGAAGTAGTTCAGAGAAATCCTTAAGAAGAGATTAAAGCTAGGACCAAAATAAAAGAAAGGGGTTGTTGTATGCAATGAGTTACCAAAATAAAAGACAACTAACTAAACTAAACGATAAGCAATAAGAGAGAAGCGTTAGGTCATCGAGGGTTTCTCCGGATGTCAAGGTTCAATAATAAGGTATAGATCTCAATCTAGGTGATAACATGGCTAGGTTTGTTTACTTCGTCCCGGATATAAGAAACTCAATCAAGATCAGCTAACCCTAACGGCTAGGAGCTGCCCGGGTTCAAGTCTCATCGGCCGGATGTGTTTTGGACTTATTATTTCCAAACAGCCGGTTCTTGACATGTCTTCACTCTTCGGCGCATATCTTCCAAACGGCTTCATGGATTGCTTCGGTTCGAATTCGACGTTAATCTTGACTCTTCTAGATTTCCATACATACCGAATTCGCCTTTTGATACTTTTAGCTTCAAAACTCTTAAAACCTTCTTGGCACCTAGAATACGTGTTTCTCCTCTTATTGGCTCTAGAATGGCACCAAATGATCTCTGAAACATAAAAAAACAATAGCTAAAATAGGCTAAAAAGCCGTGTTATCAACCACGCTTTGTTAATCCAAGTAGGTGACTCTCACTTATAGAGTAGTTTCCATACCCTGAGCCTAACCTTATTTCAAGCCAAAGATCAATTGTGTATGATCATGAGGTCTTTTTCCGATTGAGCTTGGTATAACGTGTTAGGTATGAGCCGACATGTGCGGTCTTTCATGTAGACCTAGCCCA